AAACGGGAATAACTATCTAGTAGTTCACCTACTTTCCGTTGGTGGCTCCAGTTTGTCTCCTGCGCACCATTAACATCGTCTAATATAAGTCGGTTTCTACTCAAAATGGTTATTTCGGAGCAACGACATCTGTCGATTAATTCATGGATAAAATTTAACATAAAATTTATAAAATGTATATAAAGCATTCCAAGACATTTAGACCACTCTTGGACTTGACCATTATTTATTTGGCTAAAATTTGTTTATATTATAGCACCCTACTAATTACCTGTTTATAAATTTTGCAGATTTTTGTACCGAATCAAAAAAAAGTTATGAATTTAAAAAAAAAAACGTTGAAAATTGACCAAATTAGATATTTTTGTTAAAAACTGTGCATTTTCGAATGAACTTTTCGCAAAAAAGACAAATTAAAATATTTTAATTCGTGTTGTATACTTTTTTTTTATTTTTCAGAAAAGAAACATAAATTTTTCAAATTTTGACGCTTAACTTTTTTCTTCTTTTTCCCTAAAAACTTTGATTTTTCGCCAATTTATGATGCAAGACACATCATGGGTCGAATTTCTTTATATTTTTGTTTGTATTGAAAATCATTTTTTTTTTTCATTTTTTCGCAATTTAACTTTACTCTCATAATTGAACAATGAAAAAAAACTAGATTACTTTTGGTAATGGTTCTTGGGGATGAAGGTGAAGGTGTGGAATGGATAGGAATGTGCTGAAAGAAAGAATGAGGAGAGAGAAGGAAGATGCAATTTGTAATTGATCTAATGCAAGCAAAACTTCTTCCTTATATAAAAATTACAAGGAATAAATTATTAATCTATCTACTATCTTTAGACAACCACTGCAGCACGAAGTTAGCAGTGAGATAGTTACAAACGAATTGATTTTAAAGTTTATTTCTTTTTTTTTTACAAAAACTTCAAGTCAAGATAAGAAACTACGGTCCTAAATACATTGCGGATTACAAAGTAACTTATAGTATAAGTCACGTATACACTTAGATTAAAGGAAATAATTATCACACGTCATAACTAGATACAGAATATACAGAACTATAGTTGCATTCATTTTACTTTGAAATGCTTGTCTGTTAATCGTCACAACAGTATACACTCTATACGTCCAACGTAACGTAACGTAGAATTACTTTCAGTAGCGTTGTGGTTGCCAAAAATAAGGAACAAAGTAAACTTTCTCTAATGAAACGCTCCAATCAATACGTAGAAAGTTATGTGATTTATCTATTATCGAATACGTGTCTACTCAATATTATTAACAAACACGATTTTATCGAATATTGTATCTTATCGTTTAACATTACACAACATGTTGCGCTACTATCTTTTGGATTTTTACGCACGCTACAGATTACAGATCAACTTCTACCGATCATTACAGGCCCAAAACCTATTGTTGAGTGAACGTATGAAATTCTCACTGTAAGTTTATTCGCGTTTTCGTGATATAACGTCTTAGAAGAGGGGACAGGGTTAAAAGACTCAACCTGCGCTTCTGAGGGACTTCCCAGTCACGTTCAATTTTTCGTTTAAAAGCTGATGTCGTTACACGATTCTCGTTCAGTTAAAATAGCTGTGACGGTGCTGGCGATCATGGGGTCGCTTGCTATCGTTATAGCCACTGTCTACGTTTCGATTTCAATGTTATCGTTTAAACGTAACGTTTTCGCCCTGTCAACCACTTGGACAAATTTGGAAAACGTCACTGGTAAGGAGTAATTCTTCGCCACGATTTGACAGAAAAAAAATTCACTAATCGTGTCATACATTGCATTTGAAAATGTTACTTCTCTACAAATCACCAGTTTTTCTATAACAAAACAAAAAATTTCTCTAATAAATATTAGAACTAGTTAAAACTGCAGAATAATTTCTAACAGACATTAAAGCAATACGAGATAACTATCTTTTCATATAAACATTTCAAAGGCGAACTAAGTTTTCAAAGACTAGCGTCAATTGTTTACCGATACAAAATACTTCGCAGCAAGTTGACGATACAACTTCCTTGACTTAACGACATCAGACTGAACACTAAACTCAGTACACTAATTGGTTACGCTATTTGTGTTTCCGTGTGGTGATTGTGATTTCCTCTCGGCTAACTCGTTTGAATCATACGAGACATCTATCGCCAACTCACGGATCATAGTTGTTTAGATTATTTTGTACCAACGATTTGAAAATAAGATTCATCCAGAAATTTTTTGAAAGATCCAAGGATCATAAGCAGGGACGAATGGAAAGCGAGACCACCGAAAGAACGAGTGCTGATGAATGTGACACCGACGCCTTACGTTGTGATCCATCACGGAGGCATAGCTGAATACTGCTTCGATCAGAAGGCGTGTTCCGCAATCGTAAAATCGTATCAGAATTTGCATATCGACGATCGAGGCTGGTTGGACATCGGTTATAACTTCGTTATTGGCGAAGACGGGAACGCTTACGAAGGTCGGGGCTGGGATTTCGTTGGAGCTCATGCACCTCCTTATAACAATCAAAGCATTGGAATATGCGTTATCGGTGATTTTAGTGGTAAGTGTTTTATTATTTGTTTCCTTAAGGGGTGAAATCACTCTAGAAGCAGAAAAAAAGACCTAAATTTGACAATTTATTTTGGGATTGTGACAAATGGAATAGAATTTCTTTTCAGAGGGTTTATTTAACACATATTGAACAACAAAAAACATTTTTTTTATTGTTATTTTCATACAAAATGACGGTGACAGAGCCCGTCGTCGAAAACACCTTTTTTGAAAACACCGCCACGAGAGGATGGATTTCTCGGTATGTATGAATCATGGAACAAAAACTAAAGAAAATTTATAAACTACAGGGTGTCCCAAAAATATTGTAACACCTTGAAAGGGGAGGTTCGGGATGTGATTTGAAACAACTTTTTCTTTAGCGACAATGTTGTCCTCCGAGGCTTTGTTAAGAAGATATTAACGGATAACACAGACCAATCAGAGCGCGAGTATACCGTTGGAGCCACCGTGGTAGCGTAGGCCACGCGATTGGCGGCCGCGCTCATTCGCTACCGCGGGCGCTCCACCGGGATACTCGCGCTCTGATTGGTCGGGGTTTTCTGTTAATATCTCCTTAACGAAGCCTCGGACAACGTTTTCGCTAAGGAAAAAGTTGTTTCAAATCACCTCCCGAATCGCTCCTTTCAAGGTGTTAGAACATTTTTGAGACACCCTGTATATAAAATTGGCTTTGGAAGTACGTAGGGTTCTTCTTCTTAATCAATTTTTGTGGAAGTGCGCACTTTTTAAGGAATAAATCGACTTTTTGACCTAAAAATGAGTATTAAATTGTTTATAAAAAAAAGTTTACATTCAATCAAAAAACGGCTACATAATTCCAAAGAGAATATTGTAAAAATTTCAAATCGATCCATGCAGTAGTCACTGAGAAATCCGTCCTCCCAGTTTGAAAAAAGTGATTTCGGGAAAAACGCGTTTAAAGTTTTATAAACACTTTAATCGCACTCTGAAGCGCTGCGGCAAAATCGATAATTCAACCTTTTAACATTTGTTTTTCACTAGAAATCAAATGACATATTATTTGTATGATCCTAAAGTATCCTTTAAGCAAAAAAAAAATCGATTTTTTGAAAATCCTAGAGTGGTTTTACCCCTTAAAGATGATTTTATACTTCGAAACCTTGAAGGAACGTGCGTTTTCAAAATTTGTTATTATTGAATTGAATACTATCGACAGTATCTTGTTCCTTGCATATTAAAGCATTAGAACATACGGTATCAGTCATTCGAGTAGTAGGTATTTTATTATTTGTTTTTTTAAGGTAGTTGTTCTGTGGATTTATTTAATGAAGGATTTTAACAAAACTGCACTCGACTGTTCTTTGGTTAAACATGAATCATATGAACCAATTTCGATCTAAACTGACCACGTTAATTTTAAAAAGAATGATATCAAGATTTTGTAATTTCTAACACAGACTCTTATGGAGCATACAGAGCATGCGGATTTTTTCAATTTAAATGAAAATGCAATTCACGAATCCTGCAGGAACTAGCTGAAAAATTGATATATTATAAAAACCGATATTGTAAACCATTTAAAAAAAAAACGGTAATTGTTTACATTAGGGGAGGCATCTTCGATCATCTTGACCTTGACATATGTTGTCAAGGACATGTTCCCAAGTAACTTTTTCTAATAACTTAACCGGCGCTCACTGCTTATTAAAAAGTTATTAATAAAAATGTATTGCAAGTATTATACTAGAATCTGCGTATATGTACGTACGGTCGCGTAACAGACCGCTGTAAACACACTAGCGTGCTTCAAATGTCAACATTCCAATGATAAGAACTAGAAATGATACCGAAGCACATCTAGTGTGAACATTGCTTTGAACCTGTCACCACGCTATTGCATGAGTTTCTGTATTTAACATACGATATAAATACACTGGCCCGCAAAAAGATAGGGACACTTTTTCAAACTGTCGTAACTATGAGAGTTTTCAACCGATTGAAATGAAACTCCGTGAAGAGTACTTTTGAAGTGTCCCCTAGACGTGTGTAAAGTTGCATTGGCGAAGGTTGATGAGAAGGGGTTAATTCACCCCCTTTAAGGGAGCGCGTCGAAAAACATCACTTCCGAAGGTGCCAGGAGTAATGGAAAGGGTTAACAAAATTAAAAAAACCTTTAAGGCGACTCTCTTTGATGCCCTCTACAAAATACACCTCTTGAAATCCACGAAAATTCCACTTGAGCTTTCCTGAGCAAACGATGAGCAAACGTATGCAAAAAGGAAAATTTGAATTTTGTTAATAATTGACATAGTTCCCTCTTGAGCGTATATACAGTCGCCTGTATCTTTTGAACTAAAGAGGGGCAAACGAAAATTCCAATTGAGCATTCCTGACCAAACGACGAGCAAACGTATGCAAAAAGAAAATTTTGAGTTTTTCATATAAGTGGGGCCAGCTTCACACGGGTTCAGGGTAACCGTGTACACACGTGTGTGGTGCGCTGCATATTCGTTGTTGAGGGCTTTGCTCAGATTCGGCAAATTCTAGTATAATACTTATAATACATTTTTATTACTAACTTTTTGATAAACAGTGAGCTATTAGAAAAAGTTACTCGGGAACATGTCCTTGACAACATATGTCAAGGTCAAGGCCATCGGAGATGCCTCCCCTAAAGTAAATATTTACCAAAAAACAATTATTGACCCCGTCGTTGCTGAGATATAATTCATAAAAATCTGAAACAGCAAGTAAAGAAATAGCGTTTCTGCTACAATCATTTCTCGAGTATTACGAATGTATGAGTACACTAGGGTGATCCTTATTTTAATAATTTTTGCAATCTATGTTACGCACCCCCTAAATACCTTGTAAATAGATACAACAAAATTCCTGTAATATTTGAGCTCTCACTTTTAACATTAACACCTATCCTAACGCTTCGAAAAGGTCAATAAATAATGCATGAATTGTTTTCATTCGATTACTTTTTTTTTTATATTTCCGGTAAAAATCGATGAAATGATTTAAAATTTGTTAGAGGTACTTATAGTAATAGGAACTAGTCCTAAAAATGTCAAATTTTTAACTTAATTATTTTCTTATATATCAGCCCAGTAAATATGTACCTATTTTTTCTACTTAAGACATTTTTGTAGTATTATCTTGAATGTTTTAAATATAAATTGTTATTGAAAGAAGAATTTTGATGTACTCAATTTTTGGATTACCTGAAAAAGAATTATTGTTTATAGAACATTTATAAAAAATAAAAACTAAATTCATATTTAAAGCATTTAAGATAATATTACAAAAATATTTTAAGTAGAGAAAACAGATTCATATTTATTGTGCTGATATGTATATAAGAAAATAATTAAGATAAAAATTTGAAATTTTGAGGGCTTGTTCCTATTACTATAAGTAAGTAACTCTACCAAATTTTAAATCATTTCATTGATTTAAAACAAGTAATCGATTGAAAACAATCCATGTATTTTCCATTTAAACTTCTCGAAGGTTGGTGCACGTGTTAATGTTAAAATTGAGAGCACAAATATTGCAGGAATTTTGTTGTATGTATTTGCAAGGTATTTAGGGGGTGCATAACAGAGATTTAAAAAATGATTAAAGTAAAGACCATCCTTGTATACACATACATATTGATTTACTATAAACGTGTGTGAGAACAGTAAGACTGTACTTTTACAAAAGTTTCCAATTATATTTTTGAATCTGACTATCTCGAAATAACTACGTCAAAGATGATCTTCTATTTCAGAACCTGAAAAAAGCGTGTATTTTTAAAATTTGTTACTATTGAATTGAATACTATCGATAGTACTTTTATCCTTCCATATTTATTTATACATGTTTCATGAAAACGTAATTCTTTTCTCCTACTCGACAATATGATAAAACGGAGATCTCATGGTAACGAATGAATTCTTTATTCATACCTAATTCACTTTATTCGTCATTTTTCATCAGATTTTCTCCCCAACAACACGGCATTAAAAACTCTAAATGGTCTGATCGATTATGGAGTGTTTCTTGGGAAAATAAGCAAGGACTACCACGTTATAGGCCATAGACAAGCCAGAGAAACGCTGTGCCCTGGCGAAGAATTCTTCAAATTTGTGCAAACAAATCCACGATGGACAAAGCATCCTGAACCGATTAATGTAGCACCAATAACTGTTTGGAAATGAAGACACCTTGAATGCGATTAAACGCAGCTAACGTCGTCTGCGGTGATGGTGTCTTAGAACATTTACAAAAAAAAAACAATTTTAATCAATGTTTTACCAATCACAAACGCTTTAGTCAAGTAAAATGTATGTCTACCTCGAAGGATGGTCAATGTTTAATGTATGTACAGGGTGTTCAAAGAAAAACATTCAATATTTATATAGTGTATAGGGCACACTGTACTGAGTAAAAAGGCTTTAGTAAACATAGGTCCAAAGGTCAACCGTTTCTGAGATACAAACATTTTTGTTTGCTAATATCATGATTGACTTACTACTGGGTTTTCGATATTTATAGAAGATTTTCCACGTGTCCACCGTTCATTTTTGTACACGAAATTGAAAAAAATGAAATTGACGAAATTGTCGGCACTTGAATGGGAACATTCAGAACGCAATTTATAAACACTGACGTAAACATCGCATGCGATGAAAGCAAGTAAGCCAATCATGATACTAGCAAACAAAAATGTTTATACCTCAGAAACGGTTGACCTTTGGACCTATGTTTACTAAAGCTTTTTTACTCAGTACAGTGTGCCCTATACACCATATAAATATTGAATGCTTTTTTTGAACACCCTGTATATATGCAAGTGTAAAGGAGAATAAATGCCTGCTGTAAGGGATGTTAGGTCGCAGGTGAGGAATTTGGAAAACAGGTTCTAAGGGAAAAGGAAATGGTTTATTTATTAACATATTGCTTTCCTGGGAGAGGAATAGGAATTACAGGTTTGTTCGAAAACAAGAAAAAAACAAAGCTTTCGGCTCAATTTTTTACAATAACAGAAATTTACAGAAAAGTATATCGTATCGAGGCGTCCGGATGACTCTACCGTCCATTTCCTGGAAGGCGACCGGCGGTAAATCCAGCCGTTCTCTCCGTTCCAGGGCGGCCAGGCAAGAGCTTCCGTACTCTCCCGTTAATCAGGCGATCGGCGGTAATTCCAGCCGTTCTCTCCTGAGCTGCAAAAGGCGTCCGAAAGCTAGGCTTCGTACTCTCCTTACTCATTAGGCGACCGTGGTAATTACCTCGTTCTTTCCTATGAGTGCAGCAAAGAATGCCGCGTCCGCTACCGCGAGAGCGATTCTTATACCCGATCGTTGCTAACAGACCGCAGTCAATCAACAAGCCGCGTTACTATGCGGACGCGTTCGCGAGCGTTCGCGAACGTTCCCCGCTCGCCCGACCCCGTGCGCCTACCGATGGTCGAGAAATTTCGATCGCGGTTTTTTTTCTGGTATTGTTACACTGCAAGAAATATTGTAATAGAAAGTGTGTTTAAAACAAAATGTCAACGTGTAAAACTTTTGACACGTTGACTGCCAGGCTGATAATCATGAAAATTTCTACAAGGTTAACAATAAAACACCTCTGTTAATCTTGGTCGTCACTGTATAAACTTATGTGTATGAAATCGTACAGTATTCGTATCATATAAAACGTCGAAGAACGAACATGGTAGTATTTTCATCCGATTTGTACGTACGCAATAAATCAATTGAACTGCAATGTTGTGAAATCACTGTAAACATTTTATGCAAAACCTGTTTCCGTACGAATTTCCTGGTTGTAATCATCTATTACGTATTTGTAAACACTCGTATTCAATAATCTACCATAAATTACAAAAAAATGTAAATATAAATGAACCGATACCACGTCAACATACACAGAAATACATTGGATATTAAATATACGAGCACTTGAATTTTAAGGTTTCGGTATTTTAAGGTAGCTGTTTCGTGGATTTATTTAATATAGGATTTGAACAAAACTTCATTTGATTGTTCTTTGATTAAATATGAATCATATTAGCATACTTTGATTGAAATTGACCATGCCAGTTTTATGAAAAACGATATCAAGATTTTGTAATTTTAACACAGATTTTTATGGAAAATAGAGATTTTCATAGGAATTTTTTCAATCTAAATGAGATTGCTATTTAGGAACTTGCTGAAAATTTGACATGTTGTAAAAACTGATATTATAAACCATTAAAAAAAAGAAGTAACAATTATTGACCGCCCCATTACTGGGTATAATTCATTAAAATTTTAAACTGAACGTAAAGAAAAATCTAAACCTATTATTTTGATATGAAATTGAATAAAACTGTTGTTTTAATAAGCTTTCGTATATTTTTGATACGGTATAGAAATCAATTTTTAGCTATAGTAACATTAATTATTTCAATATTACAATGCAAATGGTTATCCTGAGGTTTTTTCATACGTTAAATATTATAGTATAATTGGTTTTCATAAGAAACTATTTTAAGATACTGAAACCTCCAAAATCGAAGCGGTTACACAATGTTTACACGCAGTATAGACAATGAATCAACGAAATAAGCAAATTGGTTCACGTACACAAGAAAGTAGTTTCTCTTCGTGTAAATAGAGCTTCCACTAAAGAACAATTAATACAACGTGGAATTTCCTTGAGAGTAAAAGTACATATTCAACAATCACAAATCATAATACCGATTTGTTTCATAATATCGTGTACTTTAAATAATTTTTTGGAGCGATAATCGTTGTTTCTTACTCTGGCCGGAAAGTCCAGCTCGAAACTGATAGAGATGAGTCTTGCATCCATACAAGTGTACCACATCGAAGTCCCCTCTTTGGCTGCTGCGATCAAAGATCACGACGTGACGACACATATTATCAGTTCTGTTATAAATGTCTAGGTTTTAAAAGGTCTAATGTCAGTATTTCTTGATCGAACAATATGGACAGCACAATTTTAACGGTCCTAATATTGGTGACTTATCAACCAGCGTTTGGCGCCGTGCACGAAACACCTGGTAACGAATCTTTGTGAGACTTTCTATTTTTAACATCTAAAATCTTTAAAATAAACGAATATCATGTATTTAACGAAATTAGTGTATAAGTTTTGGTATCGCATGTGTGGCTTCGAATCATCTGTGTTTGTCTCGTTTCATCTTACTTAGTTTTAACTATCTAATATCGTAAATACTCACTTGTTATAATTGCCAGGTTTAAAACACTTAGACAATTAAACCCGCATTTGTGGTAATTATTTAGAAGTATGCGCTAGGCGGCCGCGTCAATGTCCTTCGATTGTCGCGTACAAGCGCGGCCGCCAGCGCGTAGCCTTCGCTACCACGGCCGCTCCAACGGTATACGCGCGATCTAATTCGATCTTTATTCGTACAGTAAAAGAAATGGGGGTCCGGGGGCCTGCCCCCGTTCGGGGGTTTGGGGGCGAAGCCCCCAACAAGGAGTGTAAGAATGTAAGAATGTGTGTGTGAGAAGTTTAGCTGAAAACATAAGATGCGCGACGGTTGATCGAGGCAACAATCGTAAGACGAGAGTCAGTCGATCGCGAGCATCCGAGAAATACTATCATTTTTATTCATACTTTAATTAAATATTGTTTCGTTTTCTTTCAATACTGTCTTTATTTCACCTTCCCCTCATCCTCACTAAAAGTAGAATCCCACATTTGGGGGCTCATCCGGGATAGAGGATCGAGCGGTAACGGTAAAGCAGATATTAAACAATTAAAAGTATAAAGTTGTGTGCGATATAGTGCGCGATACAGTTGACCGGTTAAGGTGTCGAATACAATTTTCGCGTCGCGTTGGTGAACCTCAGTTTATCAAATTTAAGTTGGAAAGTTGTGACGAAGTGATAAGTTGATCACGCGTCAAACCAATAAGTTGTTAAGTAGTTGAACGAGGAACAGAAGTATGGCGAAAGAAATTGTTAACAGTCGTAAACGATTTAGTGGATAACGTTGTAGTTTTTTAAACAAAAAGAGGTTCTCGGTTGTGTTCTGCGTAAAAATAGCTGCTTACAATTACGAAGATGTCCGACAAAGATAGAAACAGTGATGTTGGAAGCAGTGAGAGTGAGTGTGAGAACGGAAATAACACTCTCGTAGAGGTAACAGCACAGGACGAAGATGCCGTTAAACAAACACGAGCGTCTAAAACAAAAGCTGGCAATCAAAAAGCAACAGCTTCCAGTTCGAGTAAAATTAAGAAGAATAACCCAGAAATAGCAACGAACAATCCAGATAAATTGACAGTAGAAATAGTTGATTCGTTGCCAATAAGCAGATTGAGAGTATTTTTAAAAGAATTACATCTGTCGACAAGCGGAAAGAAAAAGGATTTACAAAATACGCTAAAAGACTATGTAAAACGCATGGAAAAGCAAAAAGATGAAGAAGGAAGTGACAGCGACGATGACGATGACGAAAATGAAAATCAAGAAGTTGATTCTACTACAGAAGATTCTGATGACGAAGTGAGAGAAATAACAAAGCGACTTGCAAAAAATTCATCATGAGTTCATCATGATGACCAAACAAAACAGTTTTACAATAAAGGACGTCGAAGAAAGCATAACGCCATTTACAGGAGATGATGGCTTAGACATCAAGAAATGGATTGCTGATTTCGAAGATATGGCAGCATTACTTGGATGGACTGATCTTCAACTGTTCATATACGGGAAACGTATGTTGCGAGGTTCGGCCAAGAAATTCATCACGTATGAAACAGGCATCGTCTCATGGAAGATTTTGAAGTGTCGGCTAAAACATGAGTTTAAGCGTGAGTTGAACAGTGCGCTAATACACGCGCAATTAGCAGCGAGGAAAAGATTGCCACACGAGAGTGGACGGCAATACATATATGAAATGCAGGAAATCGCAAGGCAGAGTCATGTTGAAGATGCTGCTTTGATGCAACACATAATAGATGGCATTCATGACGATGAATGTAACAAGTCAATTTTGTACAGTGCAGAAACTTTACACGAATTGAAGAAGAAGCTGGAAAAGTATGACTTGATGAAGGACAAGTCAAATAAGAAAAAAACAATAATCAAGAAAGAAGTCGGCAAGGATTTTAAAAGTGCGCGTTGGCAAAACAATAAAAAGTCACGATGTTTCTTGTGTGGATCGCCAGATCATAATATGCAAAATTGTAACTTCAACGCCAGATAAAAAATTGTCGAAAGACAGTTGTGTGACAAGTGTAAACGATAATCCGGTAACAGTGAAGATCAACGGGATAGATTGCGACACTTTAGTCGATACGGGTAGCGATGTTAGTCTGATTCGTGAA